AATCTGGGATCCCAATGGAAAGCGGTTAGGGCGCATATAAACGATCCGATTGGAAATGCCTTTGAAAGAATATCATCTTCTGAAACCTGGTCTTTTTATCACTGCACTCAAATTGAGATCAATTGCCAATAAAACTACTCTTAGTAGAGGTAGACCAAGAGAGGATGTATACTGCAGGAAGTGCAATACAGCGGTAGAAACCATGAATCACTTCCTCGGTCAGTGCATTTTTACCAGCACGAATGAATCCAGCACGAATAAAGCGTCATGACGACATCAAAAATTTCATAAAAGGGAAGATGCTCCGGAAATCGGACACGGTAGTGTCCACGGAAGCCACTTTCTCTGTTGCCGAAGGGGTTAGACTCAAACCTGACCTGGTAATAAAAAGCCGGGGAGGGGTCCACGTGGTCGATGTGACTGTCCGCCGCGAGGATGGGTCTAGTCTTCTGAAAGCAGGGGAGAAAAAGGTGGTAAAATACCAACCAGTCATCCCCCTGGCAGCCCAACTTCATGGATTACCCAACGCTAGAATCCTGCCAGTGGTTGTTGGAACCTCTGGGGCTCAAGATTCATAGTCAGTGCCCTCAAGACCCTGGGGATCACGTCTCGACTGACTATCTTGTTAATTGCTCTCAGAAGCTCTATTAAACTCTACACACAATTTGTAAATTACGATGGAGCAATTTAGCATTACTGGTAGTAAATGCAAGAAAGAAACTTCATTGTCCCGTGGGGAAGTCTAGGGAACCCATTGGATCCTAAAATGCCTAGGAATTACTGTTACCATGACTTTAAGTGGGAAGTGTATGCTATTTAATGTAGCATATAGAAAATTATGTAGAGGTAGTAATCCTCTTCTTTTGTTTTTTTTTGGGGGGGGGGGCTTGATACCGAAAAATCGATTTGACGGCAATCAATCTTTTGTCTGCCCATCCACCTAAAGGAAGGTCGCAGTTTCCTAGTGGCGTCTCCCGGACACCCAATATTTAACTACGGGTGTCATAACATTTTTAACTATGGCCCAGCAATTGAAAACATCACAACGGGTGTTTTAAGAGGAAGTTGTGAGTTTTTTCAGGCCAAGGCTGGTGTTCTAAGATACAGCAAAACAGTTCTTTAAAATCGGAGTTTAACCTTTTCCCATTCATTTCTCCACGTGTCCCCCACTTGTGATTCACCTGTGCCCAAATTCGTTTCTCATAAACAGTCAAAACTATATTTCCTTGGCGTAAGTTATACAAATGATTATAAAGCTTTAACACATGATAATTTGTAACAACATTTCAAATTAAAAATATTACTGGGTGCTACAACAATGTATACAAATTTATAATAAACAATGAAATAAATTCACGGAACTGTTAAAGTCACTTTTTAAGTTTATTTAAAGTCAAGGTGATTTAAAGACTGGGAAAATGGTAAAAATGGTTCTTACTTTTGAACTACAGCCCAGAAGTCGAAAAAATCTGAAACAAAAACACAACAATTTGTTTATTTAAAAGGAACGTTTGAGGCTTTTTTGAGACTGTGGCAGGGTTCTAAGATACAGTAAAAAGATAAGTTTGTTACAGTAAAAAAACGGCGCCAAGAAAATATCAACAAATTGTTTTTTGAATCAGATAAAATAGTGTTCAGTTGACGAACAAAAGTAAAATGGAAAATGCGTTTTGGCTGTGAAGGGGTGAGGGTGGTGGGACGCGGTGGGTGGTGGGATCAAAAATCTTATTTTTATTTTAGAGTTATACAAGATGATTCAGTCCACGTTGCTAATACGCCGGGACCTTATCCCATAAGTAGTGAGCAGACTGAATTTGACAAAATTTGAATACTTTAGTTACTATACTAGTTTTGTAAACAATTAACGTTAAACTTTGGACTATGAACTTGTGCTCGTGTAACACGGGCTACGGCAAATGAGCAAGCGGGTACACCTCGCGTTTGGTCTCGCCACCTCTGGAAAACGGAGTGGCTAATACTATCGGAAAAGCCCCGGAAGCGAGCAGACAGTCAAGGCATCACTGCCCCTCGTATGGCGAACAATTCACGCGGAGAGATTACTACTTTTCCGTACCAGCGGGTGCAGCATTTGCGCAATAGAAACTCATAACGTCGTTTTGAATTCTCTATACATTTCCTGCGAAAATTTAAAACAAATCGTTCTTTGGTAAATGAAGTGTGTTTTACAAGAACTGGCAAAATTAAATGAACAATTTGCATGTGATGACCGAGGAAAATCCGCATGTTGCTCATAGTGTAGCTCACTATGAGCAATTTTCTGTGTGTCGTTTGTCATTGTGGATAAACTCCTCGGTCCTCATTTCTTACCCGAGCGTTTAAGAGGCGTTCAGATCTGAATTCTATGACTCAGGTACTCCCACACTTTTGGAGCTGAGGGTTAATGAAAGACCGCGTTTGTATTACCGAGGATCGTGATGAGCTTCGGCGCAGTGAAAGCGTGGCAGCAGAAATAAAGGTACAACACAGCTAAGTTGTGAGCGTCACAAAGGCCGTGCGGCGCCGATGCCTATCTTTCGTTCACGCAAGAGGAGGCCATTTTCGAACACTTGTAGAGTCCCTATTACACGAGGTGAAAATACGAAAATTTGGCTAAATAGCATACTCTATAATGAAGTATCCTAAGTAACACTTAAATAAGTTTTTTCTCCTTCCTTTCATATTCATTCGATAAGTAGGCAATAGTAGCAACAGGGAACAATATTTAATGTATTTGAACTACATTGTTTGCAGAATATGATCAATGAAAAAGCTTATTGTTCTCTCAAAATGTTGAATATGTTTTACACTATTTCCTTTTGCACTAACGAATAGCTTAAACCCAACACTCAAAGTGCTGGATACTTGAATTCTCATGACATTTTGTCAGCTGGTAGAACACCCTGCAAAACCCACATATCCAAATTTTAAAGCGCTAAGGAGTATTAGAAATATTTTTTAAAGGCGTTTTGCATCAAGACCCTTAGAAATTAGGTGAATTATTGTCGTAATGAATTTTGTTCATTATATTTGTTTTTAATACATTTATTTTCCCTTTCTATGATTCTCGATTTAATTACATCAGGGACAGGATAGTTCAGTTCTGAGTCCGAAATCTCTTCAGGAGATCAAACGTTATTTGCAGTTCCAACCGAGTTGGAATACGTCTCCCAGGAGACGCGATTAATAACAAATCTTTGCGTTTTTCACATTTATTTATTTATTTATTTATTTATTTATTTATTTATTTATTTATTTATTTATTTATTTATTTAACGTCAAAAATAGTTAAAACCGGTGTAACAGACTGTGGGGAGAAGTGCAATATGTGCATGATTTCTTTAGCTCTGGGGTGTCTGTTCTAACTCATATACATATTAAGTTGAATTATAAATACACGTGGCAACGAGCGTTTTGACAAAAAATTATATGAAAAAATTCCCTCCCGTGTAATAAAAACAATTTGCAAATGCAAATCAGCTACAGATAAAGGCTGTTATCCCTAGTGATATACATGAAAGCATCGACTTACCACATTCCAGAAAGAGCTCAAGAAAACACACAGTTAGGAAAGGTACATTGATGACCAGAAGCAAAATAAGGTGCCCTATCAGCATTTGCTAAAGGACACGGGAAACTATACGAAAAATCTTATCGAGGAGGTAGTCATTGATCCACATGCTGAAATAGAATACTAATTACATGCTCATTTAATCTTTTAAAATTATTGACAACATACAGTAACTATACATGAGATACCATTGTTAAAACGATTGTTATTTTTTTATGCTCAGGATGCTGTAGTCTCTGAGCATACTATTTCTTCTACTGTACCTTCTACTAGTCTTTCTTCGAGATTACGAATATCCTGTGACCTCGGAGGAGATCGCTCTTCTGTGAGCCAACACGTGTATACAAACTAGTTTCGGAAAGTTACAAAACATTTCCCAAGTACCAAAACACTTTCTCCGCTTTACTCTTCCTTTGTTTGTGTTCTTATGCCTGTAATCTATTCAGCTTTCATTTCTTATGGCTATTTTGCGTTATTTTGCGTGGTTAACCCTGCAAGAAAAATAATGTTCGCAAGTGAAAAGTAAATTAAAACTGCATCGTTTTATGGTTCTATAATGGGGTTAATAATATTTCTAATTACATTTTTTATAATTTCTCAGAATAATACTTGTTAACATACCCTTTAAAATTGATTAGAATATGCTACTTTCAATCGTAAATAATATGGTGGCGCTCGTGGCACAGAGCGAAGTCGCTTGCCTTTTACGAAAGAGGTCCGGGTCCGATTCCCGGACCATCTCATGTGAAATTTGTTTCACCAAAACACGTTTTCCTGCTTCACATGTGCTAGTCCATCCACTTAGAAGCGTCCTAATTCCTATCCATGTCCTGCCCAATTCTAGCCGCTGGGTAGTGACGCTGGGGAGCGTCGGACGGAAGAGGCGCGTACGCGGATATAAATATTAACGAAGAATTACTCCTAAGTTCAAACGCGCAATGCTCAATGCTGCTCTGAGACGCGTTGCGTGAATGTGGATGCAACAATTTTTTTTAAATATAAATTTCTTCAGTATGGTATTTTTACAAGATTTCTGCCAAACGTTCGAAAATGTATACATACACTGTTCATGCATTGTGAATTGAAGCGCTTAGAACCAGAGTGAACCATTCTTATCTGAAGCTCAACTTGTGGCAGCATGGCATAGCTCACTCTTGAGCAGAATTTTTCAAATTGTCCTGGTTTGGTTGTTGATATCGTATAATTGCTACTGCTAGAAATACGTTTAGATCACCCAGTCTTTCGGGATTTTACATCTCATAAAAAAGGAGAGTTGCCTCTGACTGATTCTAAACACTTCAGTTAACATACTATACGCTTAAAAGTTAACATACTATACGGTAAACTAATAATGATGGACATATTTTAAGATACCATAGGCGTCCTTCAACCTTTAACATTTAGTATTAAAGAAAAATCTGTTTTATTGCAGATCTGGGCAGTGAATTTTGCTCCGGCTATACCGATAACTTAGGGAAGTGGAATACTGGTTTTTACTGCCCTAGTGGAGATACCCAAGCACTATACTGCTGTGGCACACCCACCAATAAATATTGTTGTGCACATCGGGAACATGTCAACAAAGATGACTTCTCAAGGTGAGCTGTGTAAATAACATTATTCTCACTAACAGGATAGTTGTGCAACCGAAAATATTTTTGTATCACAGAAATTATAGTATTTATCATAGAAATTCCGTATCAGGGAAATCCTCCAACTCTCCCACTGGAAGTTAGAGTGCCATTATTCTTTAGCGTGGTATTTAAAGAGAGATCTAAATCTTTAACACTAAGAAGTTATGTATTTTGTGTTATGCATTTTGTATTACTCATCTTGCGTACTGGTAACTGACTTCATTGTAGTCATCTGTTTTATACTCTACCTGAAAATGGTAAATTGCATCATATAGGGTGTAACGTAATTGAACCAAATTCTGTTCAAATAAAAACCATTTATAATAAATCATCACTGAGGAAAGGATATTCTCCAGTAAATAAGATAGATCTTTGATATCGATAAGTATTTGGCGTGACCTTCTCTAGCAGCAACGGTGATTCTTGCATGAAAACATCATAGAAGTTACAAATATCTTCCAAAAGAATGCTTTTTGATGAAAATTACACCTCCAGGCTCAGCTGAACACTAATCATTAATAGTGCAGTCGATCAATTCAACATAAAATCGGTATTTTGGAATGGAGATCTGATATGGTCTTGCAATGTCTTGACTCTGTAAGAATTATGATAGAGTAGGTTTCATGATGTTCTGGAGGATCTGGCATACTGGTCAATGTCCTTTGAATTAACACCAGCATGGATCGGCCATCGTAATATATGGTTCTCCCAACCATTTTCCCTAGCGTGGATCTCGTGTTGCGCTGCCGTGCACGCGGTAGAAGACGCCCTTCACCAGACTGACACCAAACATGTACTAGATGAGTCGTTAGCACTATGGTAGAACTGGAATTGAAACTCACTACTGAAAACAATGCCTCTCTATACTTCAGTGACTTTCATTTTCCATTAACGACACCATCGTAGGCATGTTGCATTATGCTGATGTGTTAAAGAAGTTTGTCTTAGTTTGTTTGATGCTAGATTAGTTTCACATCCATGTTTGAAGAGAGACATGACACTCAATAATGCTCACACAATTCAACGTTCTTGGCGTCCTCCCGTTCATTATCGCTGAATTTGGAAGCCAGGTTTACGGGTAAATGCAACTTCCCCTGATCAAAGGCGCCAACATCGATGTATTGCTGGCACAGTCATTCAGGTTCACACAATTCTGATGTATAACCCGGCATCATACAATTTGGTCCTCTACAAACACTGTGAACTTAACGAATCGGAGATCGCATTTGCAGTCCTAGCACTTTAACACTGCCCAAAGAACTTTCATAGAATAGTAAGACCCTTAGAACCAATCGATCCTTTCGAATCCTCCCGTTGTTAAGTCTTCATAATTTGACGATCTCATTCCAACTCGAAAGACTTCCTCAGTTCTACATACACAAACACTTCTTGTACTGCCCTCCACTATATTATTGTGCAAATGAGGTCGTTCACAGTTATTTACTTCATGGCGTTATTTTATCTATTTCCGCAGTGCATTTGCAATTTTAAAATTTAATAATGTTTTGTCTATGTTAGCAGCTTACCTCTTCTACTGGGTGTAGTGATGGGAATCATAGCAGCAATTTCAATTGTCACACTCATGTCCTGCTGCTTCTGTTCCTGCTGCATTCTCTATAAAAAGAGGCAACCTACGACTAATGGTGGTAAGATCAAGTTATCCTATTTTAGCGATAATAATGCAAATTGTTTGTCTGAATTGTGTGTCTTCTTTTGTGTGTGCATAGGTAGTGCTATGTGTGTGTGTGAGTGAATGCTTGTACTTGTATGTGGAAGAAAACAAGCATGTTGTAAGAATTTTTGAATCATTGTATAAGGGCCCGCCGCTTTTGTAAAGAATGCAATTACAAATCTATTGCAAATCTATCGCCCTTACCCGCCATTTGCGTTCGTACCCTCCCCTATCGTCTCCGCCTAATCCAGGCTGTTAACTCAACTGCCCGATCACGAGAGGAGAGAGAGAGAGTGCTCATGAGCCAGCGTGTGCAAGTCACGCCAGGGCCGTTTGCTATCTTTGCATTATTACTCCTTGCCGGCGCCTAGTCAAATCTAAGCTCTCGAGCCGCGAGTTGCCCTATTCAATATCACTTACAGCCGAACCAGGAAGCGGTTAGATGAGTGAGTGGCAGGATTTTCGGATCTCAGAAATAAACTTCCAGGTAACTAAGCAAATCAGTAACACAATATTTTATTGAAATTGTGAGATTTAACATCTCGAGTTCTCACGCAAATGGTCGATAAATTAAATATGGTTACTCATTTGTTTGTTAACTTTGCTTCCTATTTTGTTATTTTATATTTGTGTTTGTTGTTTGTATATTATAACTTTATTTTGGAAATAAATTTTCTGAAAGCTGGCAAGCAGCTGAGGTTATTCGTATATTCTCTTGACCAATTCCCATGAATCTGCTCCCTGCTTTATAAGTTATGTGTAAGATATTGTGCAGCAAAATTAAATGGAATGAGCGCTTCTTTCTCGGTCTTCCTTCAGTCAGACGCAACTAATAAGTAATATGAAACATCGCTCCCAACCTTCGTCCCGCAGTGCGGTTGTTTGGGGGCGGGATAACGGTCCGCAGAACCCTATGCGACTCAGTTTCAGTAACCTGATCTAATCCTTTTAATTTTTGCAATACCACAGGAATATTGAACCTTATCGAGAAATACGTGGTTCTTTATTAATTTTTAGTATCTTTTACCATTAAAAAAATAATAATATAAGTGGAATATGTATCATTAAGACATTATGAATATGAATGGAAACTTTTCAGGTCCGTTATATCAGCTGCAATGTTCCTCTACTGCTAGCGGAGTAGCAAATATGTACTCATTTTCCAATCAGAACAGTCACGCTAGCACTCCAATTGATACAGCAGTTCTTGTTGATATGGAGCCAGTTGGACGGAATATGGAGCGATCATATATGTCTCGTGGCCGCCATACATTTTCCTGCGAACCTGAGCCTGGTAGGTTTACTTAAAGTTTTTGTGTTTGTTAATTCGAATTTAATAATATTAAACAGTAACATACATCAACCACAATTAGTTTTATTATTGTTATTCTTCTTCTTAGAATTATTTGTTTTCAAAACATTATCGAGACGTGTTTGTAGAACATTTCCCCATCATCGTCACAACAAAGAAGAAAACAAGCAAATCGAATATAATTATTATAAATATAATTAAATAAAAAAATTAAATAAATGTAATTCGTTGGAATATGGCGAAATTAGATACTTACTCAAGAATCATAGATTAAATGAAAAGATGAAATCACCTCAGCGCCATCTTATGTAGTAGCGAGAATGACTGTGTAAGAGGAGTTGAAGAGAAGGAGTTGGAGGCTGAAGAAGTTAGCCAATCAAGAGTTTTAAAAACCCAACAATCTTGGTTTAAATGAGCCCCATATTAAAACTAATTGTGGTTGATAAACATTTTATCGTTGTTAATTATGGATAACCATGAGGTTTCTGTTGCCACCATGGAATTTTTAAACTAATCATATAGAGCTAATCAAAATATAAAAGTGGACTTGATAGAGTTGAACGACAATGCATATTTTAAGATAAATGAAACAATGGGAACAATTAATTTTTTACCAGATCGTAAACGAAACATTGTTTTAATTATTCCCCTTCTTCTTACATTTATGTAAGAATATTTAATAGAAAATTATCAAAAAGCAACCTCCCATTGCGTTTGCAACAGTTCAGTGATCATGATAATTCTGAAATGAAGCAAATTGAATTGGTTTTTAGGTTAATTCAATTTTTTTATATATAATAAATAGAATGTTGTGTTATAATTAGAAAAGGAAATAGTAATATTATTTCTTTAGAACTCTGACTCAAACATTCTTGCTCACTATTTTCCTCAATTAATTGAATTATGTAACACAGTATATCGGCTTATTTGGTAATCCAATATAAAAACGCGCACGCACACACACGTACACACACATTTTCACAGAAGACAAAAACACATTAGAACATGTGAACAACGCCCAAAGTTTTAAAAAAAGTCTTTAATATATTTTTCTTAGAAGTCGTCCATAAATTATGTCACCTATGCCTAAATTTGGAGAATTTTGATACCCTTACTCCCCTATAACGCCCTGGAAACGCGAGAGTTATCCTTCCTCCCAAGGAATTATGTAACACGTCCGGCAACCTCCCTATTTATAACTAGTGGCGCTCCAACAGCAGATACTTTCTCGCATTATTTATAAATTTGCAATATTCGAAAATTCAGGAAATTCAAAAAAATGAGACCTGTGCCATTCTTTTAAGCGTCCCTTGTTCTATCCGGGTAAAAATATTTGGAGCTTGCTTTGGGAAAATGCACTTTTATTACAATTTGAATTGACATCAAGCAGAAATTACGTGAAAACTACTTTTTTAAATGTATTACATGACCGTTTTTAAAGATCTGATGTTTTAGAAAGGACAGAGTAAAATCCCCAAATGTAGAATACTATTTACATTTTCGTCTTCAACTTCACAAATAAGTGCAAACATGAAGTCTAGTGTAGATAATTACTTAAATCAGTCATGTATAAACATGTGTCATTTACACACACACACTATTAGAAATTCACGATATTTCGTAATTAAGAAAGGTCTTCATATATTCTGCATTAGGCGTACCCTGTTCCTAAATTACAATAGTAAATGCTTTTTTTTCTTTTTAGCACATAATATATGCATAACGTCTAGAACAAGGTTCATTTAGGCTAAACTAAATATTTAGTTTAATATTACAGACAATTCCTGCAGACAAAATTCTTTTTTGGATTACCTGCACATGGGACATGAGGGGTTACATATATAGTAGAAGTACCTAGTAGATTCGCTTCAGTAGTCGCTTCATAATAGTTCATAATAGTAATTGTTCACTACTGTAGTTGTAGGTAGACGCCAATTTTTTGGGTTGAATTTTTGCAATTTTCGAAAACTTAGTTTCCAACGATCATCAGGCCTGCACAATTCCCTTAAGCGTCCTTAAGATAGTGTATCCAATAACCAAATTTAATAAAAAACGATGAGCCATTTTTTTATGAATTTTAAAAATGTATCAGGTGCTTCATGTAAGGTACCCCCAAAATTAAAATATCAGTTTCAAATCTCCGGTGCCGCGACTTTATCCAGAACGATTTTGGAATATCAATTTTGGAGATGATCGACTGAACGGTTTATGACTTTATGCGCTAGCGTTGTGCACAGCTCTTTTGCCGCCTATCGATTTTGCGGTATGAAGGGCGCACAAAACTGGCTACACCAGGTGTTACAGTAATTTTTTCGATATTTAACAACTGAATTTATCCACTTTTTCGTTACCAGGGTCCGGCAATAAGAGCTTTTGTGTCGAAAATTCGCTGTTTTCCGATGCACGTTTACAAAACTTTCTCTTCTTACGTTAGTAAGTGCTAGAAAGGAAAAATGAGCTGTCACCCGCCTCTGGAGAACGTCGTTGACATTTTCTACTGGGCTAAAATACAGCGAGAATCGGGATTCTCATTCGTAACTACAAACCTAGGACGCTAAGGACAGAACGCGCGATTACTTTATCGATACAATTTAGACGTTTCTACATTTTCTAGACAATTCTAAAATTTACCGCCATTTTTCTTTCCTTTTTGGGCATTTGAAAAACATTTTAAGAGTATTTTATTAACTTTTTTTTAGCGAAGTTTTAGGATATCAAAATCACTCCTTAGTTATTATATTTTCCCATCCTAGGAATACTATATAAATGCCCGACTGTGAGTGGAGTGTGATCGGTAAATTATAACAGTTTTTTATTGAAAATGTTTTGGTGGAATGTGTCGTGTTACAAATTATGTAGTATGATGCAGGCCAAACTCAGCTTATGCTGGTATGCGATTTTATTATTTTTAATGATTATCCAAAAATATGTTTGCTTGGAAGATTCATGTCAAGTTAAAATTAATAGTAACTGAATTTGTAAGGCATAGGGGTAATTTCCCTCAACCCCCCTCCGTGGATCCATGCCTGAGCAAGGGCTGGGTTAGTGTTTTACAGCACCTAGAACATTTAAACAAATGTAATTTAAATTTTTGACTGAATTTCTATGCAGCAATTGTTTTTTAAATGTCATTACATCTACTGCATAAGATTGATGTAAGTGAATCAAGAGTATTTTTTTTTAGTAAATAAAAATATTAAAAAATATTATTACATATTTATGAACCAATACAAAATTTTGTTTAAAATATTATTGGGGGCAGTAGGGGGCCTAAGGATATGCTTAGTCTGCTTATGTTATTATTCCACCTCTAAAGATAAGTGGGAATTTGAATAATTACTTTGTATCCACGTGTTTATTAAGTTTTTGTTCTTTATCATGCTGTAATGTAAAAGTAATATTGAATTTCATTATTTCAAACTGTTCATTGGGGATAGATTTATATTGCATTCTTAGGCTTGAAGAGTTCAAAGAATATGTATTGAGAAAATATTGGGAAACTAATAAAATAACTGAAGATATAGCCAATTTTAGATTTAATTGAATGATGGGGATCAATAGTCATTACTACTTCAATATAAACTCATTAATTATGAAGAGAAATAATAAGAATATGAGACAAACTAAAATTTCCTCCTCACAGCATGTCAAGTTTGGGGGGAAAGTTTTCAAATAATAATTTCTCTCCTAACATTTTTTGACTTATACCCTTAGATTTCTAGTGTCAAAGATTCTGAAACTGATAAAGATATGTACACAGTATGGAAATACAGATGTAGTGAAGAAAGTTATTTCTTAATTGGAGTTGTCCTGTAGCCAGTACTAGCCATTAATTGTATCAGTTGAGCTATAAATGGCTATTGAAAGAGGCAAAAAACTGTAATTGGGTGTCAATAATAAGAAAAATATTTTATAAAGTAAATAAATAAAAACACTTTCTCTGCAAATAATTTATTATATAGTAATTTCATTTCCAGCCTTACTCAAGAACAATAAACATATCTAAAGATACTTTTTTAAAACAAATAACATTTAAATTTGACTCTTAAAAAATAAATAATTTCTGTTTGCAGCACCACGACCCGATATACTAGAAGACAGTGGAACTGGATCATCATCGAGGCTCAGAGCTGTTGAACCACCACCTCCATATGACTCACCAGCATCATATGCTATGAGAGAACATATGGCTCCACAACAAATCAAACGTCAACATCCACAATTACCACAGCCTCCTCAACATCCACCTCCCTTACCACCAGTTCAACGAGATGTCCATCGCAGTGAGCAAATGAATGGGAATGCCCTAGTGTAAGATATCCTTAAATTGATAAAACTGTGTCATTTAATTTAGTTTAAGCTAATTAAATTTACAATAATGAGAGAAACTACACTTGATTGGAAAATCTTATCATTGCATTTGAATTTATGAGGTGTATTGGTATGTGAAATTCTCTGCTCAAAAATGTATCATTAAGTCAATTAAAAATATTACATAATTTCAAAATGGTAAATTGTACAAAATATGCTTTTCTTGATTCGTATTTGAGTAATGAGTAAATGATAAAAGTGTATAAACTTACATTTGTACAATATTCATGTTATGTCTTTCTTTCCTAATAGTATTGATATTTTTAATGATCTCACAAAGCTGAATACTGAAATATCTGGTAGAGCTTACTACACAAAACTCACCAATAATTAATTGAACATAATGAATAACTAGTAAGAAAATTGTTTCATTAATATGTGTTACAATTTCAGATTTGTTTATAATTAACTATGGTGTCATTTGAAAATATATTTTTGGACAAATGTAAAATTTTGTTGAATTGGCATGATTATGAATAATGTTATTTATTGGAAAAACTGTTTTTATTTTAGTTTCTTCTGTCATTTTCAGTGCCATCAACTAAGAGTAACATGTGTTTATAGAGTAAATATTTCTTTTGACTGACTTTTACATACAAAAACTTCCTCTATATTGACTACAAACTGATTATCAGTGTTGTCAACAGTAATTTTGACATGACCCAAACAATGGTGATAGAGGTAAAACTACAGAACTTATTTATTTCCTTAGATCAAGTAAAGAAAAATGCATTTTCTGAAAGTTACATTTCAATAGTAATAATATTCACTGTTAAAATAATTTTTTTCTTGTTCTATATTTAGAGTGTATTGCTTATTTTTACCCTTAATTTTCTGACCATAGTGAATATTTATTAAAAAGTAATTTTATTTACTCATATTTATTAAGGATGTTAACAAGATATTTATTTTTTTCAAAATTTATATTTGTTTTGAAAGTGATGACAGGCCTCCCGGTAGCAAATGAGGTGACTTACAATTTGTTCAAAACCTTTGTTTATGATCTATGTTTTTCATTTCAGAATTGTTATAAAACAACATTATAGTACGCATCACAACAACATAACAAATGCAACAAAAACTTACTGTTTCTTGTGCCAAAATTTGTTTTCTCGAAATACTACAAATGATACTAAGATTAATCAAAAAGTTAGTGACAGAACATTCATGCTTGCCCATAATTAAATAATCAGGTGTAAGTTGCAATCATATGGTACTGAAGAATTGTCAGGTGACTGAAGGTTAAAGAATTTCATGATGAATTTATTGTTATCTTTTATATTGATAGATAGGTATTGTTTAAGTACAGAATTGAAAAATGCATTTGCAATGTATTTTTCCTCCTTCTCAAGAAACAAAAGGTCTTAATGGGAATCAAGCTGAAATAATGGTGTCCAGAAAACTAGCAAAGTGTTGATCGCATACTATTGAAGGACCCAAGTTAATTATCACACAATAGCTTGGTGTTGAACAATGTACAAATGTGTCTGATTTCTTGATCATATCATAGAGGAAAGATACTACAAACGTCTATGATCTTATATCACAGAAATGACAACACACGAGAATTGCTCTGCTGCAGATTTTTGCTTAGTATTTAAACCTGCAAAATTATTTGCGAGAGTGCATGCACTCTGAAAATGAAAAACATACATAAACTAGACTACCAAGTGACATATATTACCAGCAAAATACCAGCATTGCCTGAGCTTTCTTCATATCCAATCCTTGTGAAAGAGGAAAAATATCACTTTTATATAAACCATGGCATTTAAGATTATTATTTTTAATGTAATTGCTTCAAATTTTAATAAAATGGTATAATTTTCTTTCATTTTATTTTACAGTACATTGCTATTACATTAAAAAAATGTATCTTTTGCACCGCTTCTGGCCTTTAGCAAATCTATTAGGTATCAGTTCTGCTGCAGTACTGCTGGCATTTGGCAGAATATATTAGGAATCAATCTACTCTTAGCAACACAGACAAAAAATAATATGTTCATGCGTATTTTTCAAAAAATTATTTATTGTTCTGCAAATACAAAATGATATGTTTATTTTTTCTAAAGAAGGTGGCATACCTTTAAAGGGAAGAAACAAAGGAAGAATATGTGGTGAACACAAAATTCTTCACTCAATATTTCAAACTTTTCTTTACTTATGCAAAGAATAATTTGAACTGTTACTGTCGGGAACTTCCATTTTTGTCTTTTAAAATATCTTATTTAAGACAATATTAGCATTCAATACTTAAACGTTTTGTTAATTTAAAAGTACTAATATATGATGTATTGGTTGAATATCATTTTTATCTTGATAATTTGTTCTGCATTGTAAGGTTAAGGGAATTGAACTAATTGTTTACGCAGTTACTGAATTACACAAAACATTTTCATAATGAACTCTACTGTTATAAGTACTGAAAATGGCAGAAGAATTAGAGCATATTTCTTTTTATTTCTATTTTGAAGTATCAATTTAAGGAATTTAATAATAACAGTGAAAAGTTAGACCGCTTTGGTTGCTTGGAAAAGTGCTTAATTTAGTGAAGTGATAAAACTAGATGGGTACTCAGTAATGTTGTTTATTATATCAACTGGTTCACAGACAAGGTGTCTGGAATAGAAAGGAGTCCAAGCTGAAGTATTTTACACCATTATATAATTTTATATGTATAATATTATATATATTTTTATATAAATATGTATAATAACTATTTAATAATTATTATACATATGAGTGAGTTGTTAAGCTATTTCATGTCATATATCTTCAATGTTAGTAATATAATGTTATTAATTCTAATTATTTTCATTACCAGCTGTCAAAGTGTGAGTGAATGACTGTGATGTATTTTTAAACCATCATAATTTTCTTTTAATGAACATTTCACTCTGATGTGAGTTCTTTGACATGCCAGTATATTTATTCTTTATGACATTAACATATGGAAAATTCTTTCAAATATTACAGGGGGAACATTCTTTATAAAAAACAAAATAATTAAGTGAAATGTACAAACTGTTTCTATAAGGTGTTTAGATCTATAAAACACGGGGAATATGACTTCTAAATGCACCTTCTTCTTCATTCATACTTCTTGTTTTGCTTACTATCTTGTCACATTTTTTTCCAGGCAAAATAGTACTTTTATTCAAATCCAGTCTCATGGTACCTCAGTTGCTCCCAGCACTCAGAGGTCACCTTCAACCGAAGTGCTTGAGCCATTCAGCTGCCATATGGTAGTGTCTGACGCATGTGCATCTCCAGAAGGTAGCCAGGATACCACAAGCACATCAGAATCTCCTCAGTCTGTGATAAAGCAGGTGCTGGGAGATATTCCAGAAGAAACCTTTTCGACTACATCTACTCCTACTCCTCCCAATACGACTGCTCCAGGTTCTACATCAGTATCTAACGACACCAAGCAAGTGGCAATTTCAAATCAATCATATTCTGCTCCTTCACATTGCTCTCCTTCACAGATATCTAATATTAAAGGTTATTCACACACCATTGTACGAGGCTCACCATCAGGACCTATTCCACCTCTTCGAGCCTTGCCAACAGTAAGATCTGTACCTTCAGGTCCATCTCCACCTGCTCATATTCTTTCTCAAGCTTCCTCTGCTGTTGGGCAATCCCAACAGCTAGTTCCCACAGTGGTTAATATCAATCAACCCACAGTCACTCCATCTGTACCACAACCATGTGTTTCACCCAACTCATCTTCCAAACCTTTGGATTCCAATGTTCTCTACCACTCCACCAAATTCTAGGGTTTCTAATGGTGAGTGTAGATAGAAATTTTTCAGTAAGTTTATATTTGAAACTTTGATGGATCCTTAAGAGAAAAACTAGTGTTTCAGGTGCTGATGAAAAGAATTTTGATTCTTTAATAAATGTTAAAAACCATTTATATATATTAATGAGATGCAGTGCCTGTGCTGGAGAGCCTTGTTTACTAAGTAGTTATAGTCTTTTCTCATTTAGAATTTTAAAGATACAAGGAAGAACAAGGCATTGTTGCATGGTGGAGTTGTTGGCTAATTTATAGTTCACAGCAACAATTACTGGTAAGCAATACAATTATTAAAATCTCAATTTTTTTGGAGATAATGCACTAAATACCTAGTAGGATTCATCACAATATAAATAACCAAGAGCTAGTGTAAGAGCGAGAAATGTAGTGCATATGCATTATAATAATATTATATACTGACTTGCATAAACATTTAAAACTAAAGATTTGCTAATAGCATTTCCCCTTTATTTCCTAAGAAGCATCATTAAAACACTTTTTTGCCAGCTTTGACACACATTATCAATTTCCAGTTGAGGACCTTTAATTTGATCCTACTACAAAATGAGAAATACATAAAAGATACAACTACAAGTCAATCTTAGAACTTGGTTTAATTGTGGTCACAACTGGCACAAACCTCAAAAGGAGCACAATTTTGACCCATCGCCAATATAAAATATTTTATAAGAAAAAGTATTTCTATTTTTCTTTTTTATTAAGTTCTACATGGTCAAAGGTGGTTGATTTTTAATATTATTAAGTTGCTGAGTAATTCCAGATGAGAAAAAACTCATCAATACTTTAAAACCACTGAGATAGGACTCTTTGAAGTAGATATTCAATCATATAAATCTAACAAACATGCTGAAGGGCAAGGGCTTGGTCCAAGTGAATTAGTAAAATATTTTGAGACAAAACGGCATGTAAAATTAAATTTTAACACAGTAACTAAAATAATAGACTTCATAAAGTCATTTTTCTAAGTATATTTGTATATGGACATACAAAATATGTACATAACGTATTATAAATTGTTTCATACCATGTTGTATATTGATCTTTGAAAAGAAAATTCTGAGGCCCTAATTTGCATTCCTCCACCCCCTTCACTCCTTGGTGATTGCAAATATCTCAGCTTGCCTGAAGTGCAAAATAAGCTAGTTCCAGCCCTGAATTAATGTCAATATTTGAAATTCACAACTGAAAGTGGTCATGTGAAAAAAATAGTAGCAACAGCAACCCTAAACTAGTAGTTACGATGACGAGATGCTGGTGGTTGTCAAACACCAGTGCCAGTCAAACAATGGTGCCAATCCCACACGGCAGACCTCTACGATACATGGGAACTTTAATATTGATTGTACGTTATGGCAAAATACTCAGTTCCAATGATGTGAAAAAATAGTGTAACATGGACTACAATAAAGGTTTCCTATGAAATTTAGTTTTCTTTTGTCACCGACGTAGGGAATCGCACTTTCTGGAGGCGCTTCGTATTATTGAGAATTAAGGGATACGATTTGTCATTCTGTAAAACTGTATGAACTGAAATAATGATTAATTTTCAAGTTTCATGTACTACTGTTACCAAGTGCAGCTCCCCTTCCGCACATTTCGCCCTAAAGAAGGTCGCAGTATTACAAAAATTTGGTCACATTTTTATTTCATTTAATATACTATATAGAACTTGGTATGGATACAGAAATGTTGGTAGCAGTATCATACAGTACCTCACCAAGCGTCGAGTATACATACAGAATTATAGTACAGTAAAACCTGTCAAAGGCGGAACCTGGATGAGGCCGGAAAAATCTCCAAACGGGCTATTTTTCAATGTAAAGTATACTGGATAAGCCGGAAATCTGCCCAACGCAGAAATGGTAAGGACTTTCTAGTAAGACGGTATAAAAAATTCTGGATAAGACCAAAAACAAATATTGTTTTAAATTTAAACGTGGACTTGTAAGTGTGGCGACTTCGTTCTACGAGTCACTCACAGCTGTGTTCGCCCATTCGCTTTCTCAGCTACCTTTGTCCGAACATCGTATTTCCTATTCTACTCGTGCGAAAGTCTCCGTTTATTTGTAATAGCATTGACCTTCAAAAGCCCGTGTGAAGGAAGAAGCCGCGAAGAGCGATCCTTCGAGTTCTTGTAATGCGTGCTTTGGTTTCAGTGGTTCTAAACGCATACTGTTGTTCAGTACGACGAGTTGCAGGTGTGATTATGATGTCAGGCGGCAAATTGAAAACGTTAACTTTCGGTGAAAAAGTAGACTAATTAAAGAACACTATCAAATAACACTTCTGGCACGGATTTGATAAAGAAATTTAAAGTGTGGAAAACTCAAGTGCTTTTCACCTTCAAAGACAAATCAAGAATAAGTGGTTAAAAATAACTTTTTATACATGGTTGATACAATATTCACAAGAATCTAGGCAAATAGTTAAAGCCTAAATCATCAGATAAATTCATCTGTTCGTACAAATATTGAAGAATCCCCCCTTTTAAGGAGTTCTTTGTTTTATGTCCGCGCGTTGTGTATCTGTATGTTATTTCCATTGTGTGAGCGTGGGTTCATGGCCCGGCACCGAATGTAGCCGCCGACTCTCGTCTGAAGATTACGGAACCGTTGGCCTGGTGATCGCAGTATCAGCGGTCTACCAGTAGCGGCTCCCTTGCGATCGAAGCAGGGATCGCAGTTTGTCCCGGTAGATCCACGGACGCAATTCCGCACATATTTGAGAGCTCGAATCGGTGCAGGTTTATTTCAGGGTTGCTTGGCTAGGGTAATACAAAGGGACTTACATTGTTTTGAAATGACATCATGGAGTTCAGTTCAAGCACATTTATTAACAAATGAGAGAAGTCCGCTAGGCGCGCGCAGGTTGGTTGCCGTTGGTTGGGTCCGCACACTGGTTGAGTTGCCGTTGCCAAGTTACGCGTCGATGGAAGGCGTTGCAAAGGGTCAACGCCCTTCCTCAGCTGGAACGGCCTCGTGGGACTAAGAGAACCGAAGCCGGAAGCCGGAGAACCTGTGGTGATCCCCGCCCAACTCCAAGCGATGCGCACTGCCGCCCTCACCGCAGATTCCTGAAGGCACGCGCCGGCGCCGTTTGTTTGTAGTGACGCGGCACCGCGAGCAGCCGGAGTGAGTAGCTTTGGTTCCGCGGCCGCAATTCAATTCCCGGCGCATTTTGGGTTGCATACGCCTGACCTGTCGCGCATGTCCTTGGTCTCGTCCGTCTCTTCGCCGCTCACATGAATCCTCACTCCCACTCCCATATTTTCTCTTATTCGCACATACTCGACACTGGACATCTACTCGACGCCTCTGGTTCCGCCCGCTCGCCCGTATCTTTCTCTCCTGAACACGACTGCCTCCGCTCGTTCCCCGAGAGTTTCTATCCCTTCGTCTCCGGGTTTACATCTGCACACGCCTGCCCCCCCCCTCTCGTCGCATGTTCAGTGTAGTCGGTCTAATGGGGTCTGTGTCGAGTGAAGTCATCGGAGATTCGTCAGTTTGGTCACATGCGAGGTGACTCCCGGGTTTAAGAACATCAGGTTACAACATCTTGGGTGGTTTCTCTGTCCGTATATCTTGTCAGCTAAAGGGAATCCCAAAGTAGTTTGTCACCGTCACAGACGGGGAAGTATCTTCTCGTATATCGTCTGTGTGGGAGTCGGTAGATCTCCTTGGCGTGGGGTCTTCAGTCTTGTGTGAATGCCCTGCTTGGGTGTTTTGTCACAATTGTCTCTCCCGGGAGTCTTCCTTTCTTTGAAATGTAGTTTTTAGGTGCTAGAAACTACTCATACAACGTACCTATTCTATCTTTCAAGGATTTCGTTTCCAAAATTTACAGTTTTATTGCAAACCCAAATATTGGAAACTTGTAGAAGACAGAAGAAAATGTTGGACCCAAATGATTCTGGCTTAGGCAAGTTTTACTGTAATTGGAAAGTCTCCAAGATTCTGACCAAATAGAAAGCTGAATTTGGGGCTGCAAGATCTATACTGGTTATTGTTTATAATGACATGGTCTTTTACGACTTCTTCTACAATATTTTTCCTAAAAGGACATTAAATATTTGTATTTAATATTTGCTTTGATACCACTTCAAATGTAGTAGGTACATAGTGCTAAGCATGTAAGCATACACAAAAAAAAACACTCACACTTGGAATGCACTGGGAAAAATTAACAGCAACTTGGACCCTATAATACTCTCTGTGCACTTGTCAGACTTTTGTATGCTTTTGCCAGATCACAGGGCTACAGCCAGGGCTAGGAGGTAGTATGGGAAAATTAATCTATAGCAATGTACGTATTTCAAAAGCAAGAAAACTAATTGTTTTGAACACAAAGAAACAAAAATGAATTCAAGGAAAGAATAAGGAATGTGAACCATGTTCAATAGGGGAATTGGCACTTCAACTTCTTCATCTAACAAGCCACCACAGACATCAGTATATCTATAGCATCCATCAGAGAAACCAAATTTCTTATGACAGAAAATGATAGAGTCAGTTTTAATGTGTATACATTTCTTGAAACCATAATTATGGCTCTTTGAGAGTGGTGGGAAGTTACCAATTACATCTGGTAATTGTGAGATGTAATTAACCTCCTTATGCACAGTTGTTCCACAAATTGTTACTGATAATACTTGATATAATTTCCTACAGTTTATTTTTTAAGAGATGCTTCTTCTTTATTCAGTAAAAAATGAGAAAAATTTAAACCAAAGATTAAAATATGTATTTATATTTGAGTGTAATAACATTCACTAATTAATAATGTTTTAAAGCAAATTAAAAGCTGTTTTTTTTCTTTTATTTTCTCCATTTCTTTTAATTCTATTGTATGTTTTGAATTTAATCAGTTTATAAATATTTTAAATAACAATTCAAAGTTGAATCATTATTTTATGTGGTGAACAAAACTAAGAAGTGACAATATTTATTATGTTTTTGAATTATTTATTAGCCTATACTGAAAATACAAGTAGCAAAATTAGTAGACATGGCAAGTGTATTTTTGTACTACAAATATGATCAAATTTGAAATGTCTTGATACAAAATGTTTGGTTATTTTCAAATTATGTGATTAGCCTGAGGGATAATCTCAAGAAAAACCCTTTATGGGATGATTAAGACTAATTAAGCAATGCTTTCAGTAACAGTACAACTTAGGCAGTACAATTCTAATAGCAACATATCTGTGATTTTGAATGTACTACTATATTTCTTAGAAAAACTTAATGAACATTCAAGAACACTTTGTATAAGCAAGTCTGCACAATAAACAAACAGTGACTTACTGAATACATTCATGCATTTTCCTGGGCTTCAGATGAATGATTCTATAATAGAAAAAACATATTTTCTGTCTCATTAACATACTTATCCTTTATCAGTCGACATTAAGAATTTCTAAACACTGGAATTGTGAATAGACATATTGCTTATCAGGTCTTGTTGCTGTCTAACTTCTGTTGCTGTCAACTTCTTGATCACATCTTCACTGTGCATTTGTCTTTTCCAATATACATCTCTTTCTTTATATTACTATTTTGTTGTGTGATTTCTAAAACAAATGTGAATATATTGCCATTATGCATTGTATTTTTAGCACACATTGTCATTTTGTACTCTATCCTATTACCAACCAATTGTTAACTTTGCACCATTAGTATTAAAGGAAAGAAAGAGTGAATATGCAGTTGTATAATTTACAGTGCCTACATTTTTGTTAATAAACACAAATAAGAATTTTAATTTAATATATAACTTAATATTTCATTCATTTCCAAAGGTGTAAAGTAATTTTAATTTGCAATTGGCATTTTCATACATCTAATTGTGGTATCCATCAGGGAAACCAAATTGCATATAGGTAATTGCAAATTATGAAGAGTTGTCATCATTCCTGTTGGATTATACATTTCTTGAAAACATAATTACTCCTCTTTGAAGGAGAAGAAAAGATTCTAACAAGCTCGAATTTGTTGATTTAAAAAACTCTTATGGCATTAATGAAAACATTATTATTATTTCTGAAAGTGGCATTTGTAGGATTTAATTTTTTACGAGGAAATGTATTTATTAACATGTATCCAATATATTGTTTCTTTTTTTTTAAGGTATTCTGAAATTCTTGAAATATATTCAAATTTCTAAAAGATAAAATGATACAAACTTGAGAATCCTTCATAGGTGTCACTCAAATTTCTTACTTATGCTTTTGTCTTCTGTTACCTTGAACATTATTGTCTAGATATTTGTTTCCATGTCCTGTCAATTATAATTACTGGGGCTTATTCCTTATTGCTGGTGGCAAAAAATAAAGCATTTCCATAGCTCATGGTATTGTTCCCAGAGGCATTTGCTGGTAAATGTATCATATCTACATGTGTCCTGGACTCACTGGTATCTGCCAAGGCCATCCTTGTAGGTTGCTGAAAGAGGTGCATTATTCTCAATGATCTGTTGTCAACACATTTTTAAAATTACATAATTTTAAATGCTCTAATGCATTTGCTGAGATATTTCTATTTGTCACGTAAAAATTCAGAATAATAATTATCTAAACATTGAAATTAGTGGTAGCTTCTTGGAATGGTGAATTCTTTTAACCACCTTACTTTGTTAACTCGGTTGAAATGCACTATGTTTGGAACTTTTTTCCCAAACCTTTTTTTGGCAGACCCCCATTGTAGAAATTGTTAAATAAACTGACCTCTTTCAGTAATTTAATTTACCTATTCACACTTGTAAACTTGCTTAGTACTCAATATTAAATATTTTGCTAGATTACCAATTTTATTAGTTTGTTTATAAATAAAATAAAAAATAAAAGGAGAACAAATGGCAGTATCATGCAACGTTTAATTTTGAAACCTATTATAGTAGATAAATTGGAAGGAAAAAAGGGAGGTATGTTTTATAACATTTTTAAAATAAAAAAGCAAATTCAAAATAAGTATCCAAATTAATTTTTTATTGAAAATAAAAATGAAATAAAAGAATTATCTAATACAGATAAAACTGGAAACCAAAATGATTACAAAAAAGTACTTTTAATCAATTATACTGTAGCAAAATTGTCTGAAAACGAATACCATGAAAACTTCTTTTCCACATTTACTTTGTTTTGTTTGATGAGATAATGCATAAAGATATGAAACTTGTGCTATACATTATTTAATGCAAAAATATGAATGTTCATTTTTGTGACTTTTTGTGATGTATACAAGAGAAAAAATCTTTTTCTACTTAATTAGGTACTTTCTACTCAATTGGAATCATAGATATTTTGAACCAACAAATGAACAAAATATTTGTATGCATGTATGTACTTGGTGCGACAGCCCGTAAATGGGCTCAGGCCTACCAACAACATCCCTGCCTCGCGGCCATGGGTTAAGAGGGTACGTTTGAAACAATTATTTAGTTAGTAGGTATTAGTGAAAGGGATCTCATTTTAGTTGTTATGAACTCTAAAAATATTTTATTGGAACTATCACCCCTAAAAAAGTTTAATTGAATCCTAGGAGGTTGATGACAGCTACAATGGGAATAGCTAATTTTAGTTGGAAAACAATTACTCATGCCCCTCAAAATTTCTAAGTATGTTCTCCTTCATCGGTGTCAATGGCTATGTATCTTACTTCATCGTTGTATAGATAATAAAATAGCTATTATCTCTAGAGGAACATCAGTATTTGTGAATATTGCCTGTAATTTGATCAATTTATTTGAATCATTTAATTTTTAGTTTGTGTATTTCTTTTACACTTGACAAAGAAATTTCGTTAACCATCTTTATGATCTAAAGTTAATGATTTTATCACATGATAGTTGAAATGTTTGTATCACTAATATATCTCTAAAAAACAAACAAAACCAAAATTAAGAACAGGAACAGAAGAAAATTGATGAACTCACTTAAATGTTGAAAATATCACATATTTTTAATACCATGTTTTTTAATACAAATTTTCGCCAAAATTGAAAATTCATTATTTAAATTTGCATTAAATATAATCTATTTGGAAAATAGTAAAATCAATAAATAACAGAAATACACTTTTTAATTATTGCCTAAAATTATGTCAGATGATTTCAGATCTTACTAAACAAAATATGTCATCGGTCTTTATCCAAGTGAAATTTGATTCATTTTTGTAATTTCTTCGGTATCATGGGGTACATTGATTTTCTTTTATGGGCTGTGTCAAATCTGAGTCTTGGTAAAACAGTAGGATTTTACAGGATGATTCAATTGATAATGTACATGGCAATTACTGACTTGTATGATTAATGCTTGTTTATTTATGATTAAATTAATTTATAGCAAAATGCAGGAAAAGAAGGAAACAGAGCTGTAGGTATTTACAAGTAGCCTACAAGAATAGAGAGAAGTAGAAGACACAAAGCAGTTAAAAAAGAGATATATGGGAAAAAGTAAAAGAAAATTGATACAAATGGCTCAAATATTAAAATATATAAGGAAATCAGTAAGTTGAATTTCCAAACACATTTCATAAAACAATTATTCCACATTTCTAGGTAAAGAAAATCATAGGTAGACCAATAAAAATTCAACTTCTACAGGAATATTATTTACATACAAGGTCACAGAGGTGTGCCAGCACTTAAATTCATTGTGCTTAAAATATTTTGGAGTATATCTCTTATTTTTCCCTGATTACATACTTTTTGGCACACAATAGGACAAATAGATATCATAAATTCAACTGGTAATAAACTTATTTTTACCATGTCAATTTAAATATGAATATCTTCACTGTGCTGAAATTTAAAATTACTAGTGAAGAACACATTCATTAAAAATGAAATTATTCTGGAAATTACAAATCATTTGTAAATGATGATATTTCAATAAAAAGCCTTATAAAGCCACAATGTTAATTTTCTCTAAACATTTATTTCTATTAGTAGCACAGCATGAAACTTCTGATCTATCTGGACATCAAAGAAAAATGGATAAATGTAAATATTTCAAAGTAACATTTTTATGCATTACATATGATCCAATAATAAATACATTAGCAATGGTGTTAATTTTGAGAACCGACCAATGTTCTCTCAGAACTATTGAGTACATGTGATACAAATATTCTTAAAACAAAATATCGGCTATGTTTATACAATTTTTGATTGTGATTCTCTGTTTCTTCAGATTCTGGATCCTTCTGATCACAAGACAAATTCTGCATCTGTTCTAATGAATAAATGAAGTGAATTTAATGAACTTGCAATAAATTTACTACAATATTCCTAATAAATATTTATCCATGATAATATTATATGTTATTGACGGCAAAAATTTTTTTAAATTATTTAAATCAATGAATCATCCTTGTTCTTAACCATATCAAGATGTCCAACACATTAAAGGCTTTAGAGAGATAAAAATTCTGCATGAAGTTGATATGTTGATGTTCTTTGGACTTTTTTGTTGTCCCATGAAGGATTGAAGGAAGTACCCTACATATACTTGATTCAAAATGCTCATGTAGTAATTTTTTTAATCAATAAAAAGAGTTTAAAGTACTTTTCACATTTAAAAAGGATATGATTCCACATTCTTATTATCTATATGAATAAATTCTTGCTTGTGAAAATATCACTGGCTTAGGTTGTAATGTAAACATTAATTTCAAATGCAATAATTTGGCATGAAGTCTGTTGTTTATCTCAAGAGTATATATTATTTAATTGTTATCAAGTCCATTAAATTGAACAATTACATTTGCTTCTGAATATAACCCAATATTTAATAATAAATACCATTTGGTATTTTCCCTAGGCATGTGCAGCCTAAAACACCGACAACCACATTTTTGGGCTGGGGGAAGTGGGCAACCACATTTCTAGGTCCACTTTTCCATTTATCTTTTTATTTTCGTCATATTTTATGCATACAACAATTTTCTGTCCATTTTTGAATTCTTGAAATGTATTTTGGGGCAGTTGTTGGAGAGATCAGCTGCAACTTCGCCACATTGTTCAGAGTGGTTTCATTGATTTTCATTGTTCAGAGTGGATTCAGATTTTTCAATAATTTTAGCTGTTGTGGGCCAATTTTTGATTTTGTATGCATTTTTAGGATTTCCTATGTGGGATTGAATTTGAATTATCCAACTTTGAGGTATAGATTTGAAAGTTCCTCACATTTTGCTCTGATTTCACCTGTTTCACTCCAAAGAAAACAATTTACAATTTCCAAAATTATAAAAGTTTTTGAAAAAGTTAAGCATTTCATCTTTGTTTCCATATTTTATGTATAATTCATGCCAAACTGTATGTAAAGTAATAAGCCCCTTATATTTTTTTAGGAATTGAAATTAACTTGTTAACTCAATCCATACTCTTGAATTTCAAAACAATTTTAATAAATTTTGCAAATTACAAATGTCTACACATAATTTTATGCAACACCATTTAAAGAGGAAGTCTCTTGCATCCTTGTTTGGCGAGAAAATTGTGCACCTAGCGCACAGGCTCTGCCAGGGTCAACACCCCCTTAATGAAAAAATAGATGAAGTTTAGATTTCAGATTTATTTTTCTAGTGTACCCAGAAATTCTTAATCCTCTCAATTTGTTTCATTGTATTACACATGGTTCCATTCTCCCTACACACACACACATTACAGAGCAGCCAAGCAAACTGCTGAGATCAGAACAATAAGGGGAAGTCAGATGTGGATCACCCAAGTAATGGAAATTGGCCCATAACCATATTAAAGGTTTTAGTTGTGGCTCTTGATGCCTTGCACGATGGACACCCCTGGATTGAATAATCAAAAATGTTAAGTAAATTCAAAATGCACAATTGTTTTGCAATTCTATACTTACTTTTCATCTGGGATTGAACATATTTATGGATTTCAAATGTTTTATCATATAGGACTACAGAGATCCTTTCAAAACTTTTATGGTAAGCCATAGTCCCCTTGCCTCCCTCACCTGTACACATACCTTTATACCATTACTTTTTATGCAAGGAGAACATTGTAATTTACTGGTTGATAATAACAAATGGCCACTATCTTTATCTTGAATTTGTTTTGAAGAGGCAATAAATTTTCTTTAAAACTAGAAAGAAAGATATTGGCAAATATTGGATCGTATACAAATTGTAAAGATATGTTGTGGATGAGTTTGCCATTCTTGGAAGGAATTTCTGACATTAACATTTTACCAAGTTCTGATGGACTTAAAGATACAATGCTTTCATTGTTTATTAATGTAGAAACTTCATTAGCAAAAAAGAATGAAAATTGTTGTCAATTGGATCATGTAAGTACCTATCCAAAAATATGAAGTATTTCTCAATTATTTTTCTGATAACTTCTGCCATATTTTGATACAGTATATTTCTTTCTAAGCTTTAAGGAAGACGTTATTGAAGTAAGAGCGTTATTGAAGTAATGTAAATTGATTAATTTGGTTTTACTATTCCTATTTAGAGACTTCATTTTACAATATCTATTTTTTGGACTCTGTTTCTAATCAAATATTTTGGTATAATATCTAATATATGCCATACCTTTTGTGCTTTAAAATTGTGCAGACACCTGATTTTCATGGTTGCTTATTTATAGCATGGCAATGGGCATGTTCCTTTCTTTCATACATATTTATTTGTGATAATATTATTAATATCATGTCAATATTAAATTTTAAACTTTGAATGTAAGACCCTATAAAGATTCATCAGAAATAATTTCTGAATGTAAAATGTATTTGAATTGAGTGTTTTCACTTTGTTATATTTGTTAAAAGTTTTGTTTTTAATGTTTGTTTATCTAGACTTTGTGTATATAAGAATGTGTTAGAAAATGAAATATTTGAGCATATATATTTTATTCATAATTGAAGATGTGCTTAAAATACAATGAACCACTACCACTGATATCAAGTATGACTGTATTCTTTCAAATCAAAGGAATTTTTTATGAAATATTACTAGATATCTTAAAATAAATCTAAAATTAATGTGTTGTGATGAAAATTGAAGTCTTCTCAACTACATGTCATAAAAAATAGAACTCTCATGAAATTAATGATTGCCTCAAGAGTTTTTAAAAATCAACAACTGAAATCTTGAAATTTCTTTTTATCACTAACAAAACTGTCCACATATTTTGAAAATAACATTTTTATACAATAATATTAATGAGAGAAATATTTTGTGATGCATTTGAGAATCTGTGTCTTATAGATGGTTCTGCTACCAGTTGCTTATGCACTGGTTTTGCATTGGTTGAAAGAAATATAATGAAGAAAGAAATAGTCTAAGAAATTACTGATTTTCTTGGTAACCATATAAAATATATATTTATTGACATTTACTTTATTGAACATTATTGAAAATTTGTGTAAAATTTGGTTTTATCTATGAGTCCAGGCAATCC